AATCCACAACTAGGGTTGTGGGAACCATGAGTGATTAACAAAGTATGAATAGTAACTAAGTAATTCTTGAATAGTGTTGTTGCATGCATTGATAATTCTTTTGTTTAAAAGTCTTTTTAACGATGGCCAACGTTAGAACTCGCCTTATTGCTACTTGCCGGACCAAGGAGGTAGTTAATAAGAAAAGAATTTTCAACAGAGATTTAGTGTGACACTATCTAATAGTCTAATGTCAATTGGTGCAAGGGTGAAAACTAAGTCATACATTGATGTGATGTCTAATCTAAGGTAAAGGTAAGGGTTAGTAAATTATACACACGTAGCCGGACCAAGGTGCGGGGTGAAATTCTCTATTTGGCGGACCAAGCACTTAGGAATACATAACTTACCACTTTGCATATGATACACTAGGAAATGCTTACTATTACTAGGATTACCACGTTATGAGCTTATAGGGAACACATACACCATAGTTTCTTTCTCTCATTAATAACAACTAAAGTTCAAATCTTGCTCACTTGCTCTCTAAAAAACAATCAGTTATTTGTTACACAACCCCCCCCCCCCATTTACTTACTTGTCTCGGAAATACGTTGACTAAATGAATATAATTGTAAGTTAAAGTTAAGTCTAAACCATATTCCTCGTGGGATCGACCCCAACCTACAAGTTGGGTTCTTTACTTGATAACGATCGCTTATACTTCTTTAGGGAGGTGTAATTTGACCATATCACCCATAGTTTTCAATATTTCATTCACCTGGGAGCCACCAAGATGTATCAGGACTTGCAGAAGGTCTATTGTTGGAATGGGATGAAGAAAGAGATTGTGGAATTTAAGGTTAAGTATCCTAATTGTCAACAAGTGAAGGTTGAGCATCAAAAGTTGGGAGGTTTATCCCAAGATATTAGTATTACTACTTGGAAGTGTGAGGATTTGAATATGGACTTTATTGTTGGTTTACCCCCACACTCGGTGACAATATGACTCCATTTGGGTTATAGTATGAAGAAGTCATCTAATTTCATTCTCGTCAAGGTTTCCTACTCGGTGGAAGACTATGATAAGTTGTACTTGAGGGAAATGGTTAGGTTGTATGGAGTGACCCTATCCATCATCTCCGGTCATGGTACACAATTCACTTCTCAATTTTGAAAGTCTTCCCAAAAGGGCCTGGTACTCGTGTTAAGCTTAGTACAATTTTTCATCCTCAAACTGATGGGCAAGAAACACGTGCTATTAAAACTTTGGAATACATGTTGAAAGGTTGTGTGATTGACTTCAAGGGTAATTGGGATGCTCATTTCCCTTGATTGAGTTTGCTTACAATAATAGCTACCATTCGAGAATTTGTATGACTCCGTTTGAGGCTCTTTATGGTAGGAGTGTAGATCTCCTATTGGTTGGTTCGAAGTTGTGAGAATGCTTTGATAGGTCCCAAATTAGTATATGAGGTAATGGAGAAAGTTTGGCATTTAGAGAAAGGTTTAAAACGGCTCAAAATTGATAAAAGTCCTATGTCGATGTTAGAAGGAGGGATCCTGTATTTAATGTAGATGATTGGTTTTATATAAAAATTTCACCCGTGAAAGGTGTGATGAGATTTGGGAAGAAAGGGATGCTTAGTCCCCGTTATGTGGGCCCATGTAAAATTTTGAGGCGTATTGGTAAAGTTACTTATGAACTTGATTTGTCTAATGACTTAGCATCGGTGCATCTGGTTTTTCATGTCTCTTTGTTGAAGAAATGTGTTGGTGATCCGACATCTATAGTACCGTTGGAGAGCCTTGGTATAAAGGAAAGTCTTTCTTAGAAAGAGGTTCCGGTTGAGATTTTAGACCGACAAGTCAAGAAGTTGATAAATAAGGAAGTTGTGTTCATAAAGGTCTTATGGAGGAATCACAGGGTTGAGGGTGCTACTTGGGAGGGCGAGACTAATATGATGTCTCGTTATCCCATCTCTTTCCCTACGATCATACTCTAGCTTGAGGTATTTAGCTTCGCATGGTTCATCCTTATTGGTTTTATGTGTCTTAGTTGTTCTCATGTTTCCTCATGCATACATACTCATGAAAACTTAATTTTGGGAAAATGAGGTAACTTGATTGATTTCTTCAAGATTATGATAATTTGAGTGTGATTTGCATGAATGCCTTATGAAATGATGTTTAGAATATATTTGGGCTTGGAGTTGATGTTCCTCTGGGATATTGTGCATTGTGATGAAGTTGCATTCCTGTTGGACCGTTAGATCTTCTTCCCTACCCTCCATATGATTTCTTGAGTTCCATTCGAGGAAGAATGTTACCAATGTGGAGATATTGTAATACCTCAAACTTAGACAAAAAGGAAAATATTTTTTTTGGCTTGCAGGCTATGTCTATGGTTCTTATTTATAGACCGTAGAAGCTTCTACGAGGCCTAGATGGCAACTGTAGGAAGGGGGAAAATATTTTTTCTAAAATCAAGTCCCTGTACCCTTTGTACGGCTCATTAGGAAGGTCCGTCATTTCATGTAGGAGTTGTAGATAGGTTCCGTAGGTGAGTCCCAGACTTAGTGAAATTCTAAGGGTCAAAATGGGTTTCTACGGTTAGTTCCTATGGACCGTAGGAAGACCTACGAGCCGTAGAAACATTCCGTCAAAAGATGGGTAAAATTATGGTCCAGTACTTGATCAACGGTTGACCAGTACAGACCATAGGTCGAGTCTGACAGTTATTTTAAAGGGCTTTTGGGTCTTTTTCCTAATCATTTCAAATCAAAATTATATCGTTTCGCTTTCTACCCTAAGCACTATATAAAGTTTTTAAGCCTCAAATTACCCACTTTCAATTTCATTCTCCTAAAGTCCCTAAAACTAACCCAAGTCATCCTCCCAAATTCTCTCAAGGCTAAGGGAGAAGAAGAGCTAGGGTTCCATTCAAGTCTTCAATCCTCCAGTATTCTTGGGGATAAAGGATCAAGGTATGTGGGTATTCACTCATGGAGTCCTTTCCTCCATGGGGTCCATAAGTTTTCAAAAAAAAAAATTATAGAAAAAGGTTTGAAAACCATCATATCCTGGAATTTGAAATTATATCTTTAATTTATTTGGAGAGTTAATGTTTTTGAAAAAAGTAAACTTCTGTAATGAGTAAATTGATTTTGGAATTCTATAAATTAATAGGAGTAAAACGGTAAACTCATTATGTCAAATATTATTTTCTTAATAAGTGTGTCAAATAAAAAATGAATGAGTAAATGGTAACAGAGGGAGTAACAAGAGTTATAAAATTATTATGAGCTAATACTATGAAGAATAATCAAAACAAGTTCTTGAGAGATTCTTAATCTCTGATTCTGGAAATAATCTTTTCCAACTTTCATTAGCTAATGTTGTGTCATGTCTAACTTATTCTATCGACCTCCTCTTTTCTTTTTTTTTGGTTTCTCACCCGGTGTCCTATACCCACATTGGATCTCGACTAGATTCGAATTCACGCCGGGAAGTCTCACATTGGGGGTAAAGCGCTCCCCCTAACAAAGGTGACTCTGCACCCAAGGAGGCTCGAATTCGAGACCTCTTGATTAAGGATGAAGGAGTACTTACCACTCCACCACAATCCTTGTTGGTGACCCCTTCTCTTATTTTCTTTCATATCATCTCTCTCCTCCCTTTTTTCATTTTTTTCATATTACAACTACCTATTTCTCTATCATTTGTTTTCTTTTACTAAGGAGTACTTTCTTTTTCTTTACACTCTATTAAAGCTATGACTACATCAAAAATGATTTTTAATGACAGTTAACTAATGACAATAGCTTAATTGCTGCTAAATATGTATTTTTAGCGTCAATTAGCACTCTTTGTATATGTCCCTAAAGTTTTTAGCGATATTGGATCTAATGACACTTAATTAATGCTGATAAAGACTTTATCCCTCTTTATTAATGTGTCTATTTATTACCGCAAAAAAATTGTTTTTGTTGTAGTGTATTCTTCACGTTGAACTCACACAAATTTGTCAATTTTGAAGGTGACAATGGTAGTGATGTAATTGATTACGACTGTTGAAATTTGTGATAGTTATTTGCGATTTTTGTTTTGTGACAATGATGATGGTGTGTTCTGACAGCAGGTTTGATAGCGAGTGGTGAACTCTAATGATTATTTTGATTTTAGTAATGAAATATATGGATTTTGTGTTGGTGGTTTTGTAGTGGCTTTGAATTTTGATGATGTATAGTGAAGAAAAAATAATTGGGTGACAAGAAAAAAATTATTTTTGAAATCTAACATAGCATTTGATGTGACAATGACATGATGCAATGCAAGTGTAAAACATTTTCTATCATGTTACACTTAAAATAAGCCACGAAAAAATTCAAATATATTGTTGAATTTTAAAAAAAAACCCATATGTTATCCGTTAAAAGTTTGATTCATTTATATCCGTTTGAGAAAAGAGCCATTATTTTTTAACTTCAGTTTTGCAAAACTATTTTTTACATGTGACCAATTATAATTTGGCCATGTCATTAATTCTAAAATCAATTGTGGAGTTAAAATAAATACCACCTGTGTTAAAAAAAAATGGAAATCAGTCCCAAAAATTTGAAAACCTGCTTTGATTCGTGTTTTTGTTGTCGTTTTGGCACTAGATCTTTGTTAACTAGTGTTGTTTTGAGTCTATGTTCAAAATTTCAAGTGATTTGGAGTTGTGTAGCTTGAAGAAATTTCAAGTGTGTCTTGTTAAGTTAGGTTGAATTCGAGCTCAAAAGATATTGAATTTTGGTATCTAGTTTGGAGGGAAGCTACTCTTGAAATTTGAGTTGATTTTGTGAAGAATTAAATTAGTTGAAAATTTGAGAGTTCTTGATGTTCTTCACGTGTTCTTGGTGTTCTTAAGAAGAAAAAAAAACAAAAACATTACATTTGATCCAAAACACCAAATGAAAAGTGTTAAAAGTTGTTTGGGGTCTTGTAAAGGTAAAAAAATGGTTTTGCAAAACCGGAGATAAATATAATAGCATGGATGAACCTGTAATGATATAGACAGGCCAAACTTTTAACGGATGACATAACGAGTCTTTTCTCAAAGTTGGATGACATATTTGAGTCTTTTCACAAATAATTGGGAAAGGAAATGATGTTTTGAGTCAAATTGAGAATTTGTTACAAAGAAACTGATGCAACGACTGAATGTAACTTGTAGAAGCTTGTTGTTTTGGTAACTTGAGAAGGCGAGCAACCTCTTGAAATCCTGCATCCTGTTTTACATAGGAAGAATTCTCACTTAGACTACTACTCATCTGCTTCATCTCCTGGTTGTGAAGCTTTGGTTTTGATAGAGCCCATTGCATTGCCCAAATCGCCAACGGCCTCATATAACACAGTGATCTATAGTGAGCATATGTGTTCCACCCTTCCGGCGTTTGGAAACCAAACCTGCACATACACATGAACAATAACTTAAATTATGGATACGCTAGATATCATCATACGAATATTCTGAACGTAGCATAGGGATATTGGTTGGCACTACTAACAACACTTCCAAGACAACGCCTGTTGGTCGTAGTACTTTGTGGATGAGTGGAGGTTTTCTATGGGTTAATGTCAAGTCTTTGTCTTATAGCATTTATCTACAATATTGTTCTCAGGTCTAAGGCTTCAGATACTCAAACAACACTGGAGATACAACACAAACTCATCATCGAAGGCTTTCATTTACTATCTTCGTTATATTTATCCCGTTTTTACTTTACCATTATCAAGATATGTAACTACTAATTACCAATAACAAGTTAAGCTAAGACACATGTCCTTGACCTCATATAATTCAATTGTACCCTTTTTTGGGTAAACATATAGCAAACAAAGGCATCTAGTAAGCAGTGGCGGATCTATGAAGGGCTGTGGGGGTGCCACGCCACCCCCAAACTTCGACAGAAACTCTATATATACATAGGTATATATATATAATATTTATATAAATATAAAGCGTGTCATCAACAGAACAAAATTAGTTTGTGGTGCCACGGTAGGAGGGCAACTTTAGAAGGCTGATGTTGCGGGTTTGAATCCCATTTGTACCTATTTTTTTGAGAAATTTGTTGCATATGTTTTTTAAGAAAAAAAAAGGCTCCAACCACGTTTTTTTAAGGAAAAACAGCTGGCACAATTTTAATTTTTATTTTTATAATTGTTATTGACTTAAATTTACATTATTACTCTTTTGACTTTTGACTTTTGACTTTTCTTTTATTTGATTAAATACTCAATAAAAGTGTAATATCTTATTATTTATATTTTATTGATTGATTTATGATATATATCGAAAAGACGAATAATTCAATCAAATATAAAATTAATTTAATCGATAAGTCTATTTGGCACCCACGGACTCTAAATCTTGGATCCGCCACTGCTAGTAAGGCTCCTTAAATGGTGATGCTCAATGATATATATGATCAATCTATAACTACTAACTTGATGAATGAATGATGATGCTTGATATATGTTGCTATACAAGGATGTCGGTTTTGGGACATTGAATTCCACCATTGAGAAGAAGGATGCGGAGAGTTGTTGATAATCTAACAACTAGTTACCGGATCATATCCTCTTGCATAGTCCAATCTTTAGCGAAATGAGGCCAGTAATTGAGAGGAGATAACCAGCTACAATTACAAAGAAAAAATACAACAAACCTTTTCTATCCTCTTCTCTGGTCATGATATCAGGGCAGTTATAAGTTATATGGATCATGATTTGCGAACTTCGACGGAAACTCTATATATACATAGGTATATATATATAATATTTATATAAATATAAAGCGTGTCATCAACAGAACAAAATTAGTTTGTGGTGCCACGGTAGGAGGGCAACTTTAGAAGGCTGATGTTGCGGGTTTGAATCCCATTTGTACCTATTTTTTTGAGAAATTTGTTGCATATGTTTTTTAAGAAAAAAAAAGGCTCCAACCACGTTTTTTTAAGGAAAAACAGCTGGCACAATTTTAATTTTTATTTTTATAATTGTTATTGACTTAAATTTACATTATTACTCTTTTGACTTTTGACTTTTGACTTTTCTTTTATTTGATTAAATACTCAATAAAAGTGTAATATCTTATTATTTATATTTTATTGATTGATTTATGATATATATCGAAAAGACGAATAATTCAATCAAATATAAAATTAATTTAATCGATAAGTCTATTTGGCACCCACGGACTCTAAATCTTGGATCCGCCACTGCTAGTAAGGCTCCTTAAATGGTGATGCTCAATGATATATATGATCAATCTATAACTACTAACTTGATGAATGAATGATGATGCTTGATATATGTTGCTATACAAGGATGTCGGTTTTGGGACATTGAATTCCACCATTGAGAAGAAGGATGCGGAGAGTTGTTGATAATCTAACAACTAGTTACCGGATCATATCCTCTTGCATAGTCCAATCTTTAGCGAAATGAGGCCAGTAATTGAGAGGAGATAACCAGCTACAATTACAAAGAAAAAATACAACAAACCTTTTCTATCCTCTTCTCTGGTCATGATATCAGGGCAGTTATAAGTTATATGGATCATGATTTGGCAACATCAAAAAGTTAACTTCCTCTCCCTTAACGACCGAGATATATAACACAATAGGCAAACAAAGCTCTTGCTAATGTCTTGCCAAAGCAAACCATCAATGACATAATTAAATGGCCGCAATCTTTAGCATCCAGATTATCAATTTGTTCTTTATGTTAGTAGTTTTCTAACTGAATGGCTAAATAGATTTTTTGTTCAAACATTAGCTCTCAGAAAGCCTCATCTTATCTGGACCCCGAGCCTCACCAGTATTTTTAGTTAAATGAGAACCTCTCCAGCCTCAAAAATGATAACTTCTAAGCAAAAGAGAGGAATTTCCAAAAACAAAAAAGAAGAAAAACTTACCCAAGACCTTTATCTGACCAAGCTGTCGAGTGTATTCCACTTGCAGTTTGAAATGCTATGTCCACCAAGCCCTCTTGTATCATATTAGCAGCAAGAGAATACGTAACTCCTGTCCATATTTCTCTCGACTGCAGAGCTGACATATCAGGTTTTCCACTTGGTAGCATCCCATTTACAGCCCCACACATCCCTCCCTTGTGCTTTAACACATTGAAATCATAGATTTTCTTCAGAGCTGTTCTTATCTTCTCTTCATCAGCAATAGGTGAAAGACCACTCGCTCTAGCATACCTATGAAATTGCAACCAAATGAGTATAAGAAAAAAAAGTAACGAGCAACAGATTCAATGGCACAAGTTCCAATTTATCATCAATACTGACTCTATCAACCATATGAAAAGCGCAACATATTTGTACGTGTTCTTTTCTCTAAATTCAGAAATAGTTCTTCAGTTTAGAGCCTCTAGTTCCTCTTTCCCAGTAAGATGAAGAAATAACTCACCATTGACCAGCCAACTGATCAGCATGAATTGAAGAACTTGATCTTCGACCACTATTATCATAATTAAAGTAAGAACCATTCCATAACTTCTCATATACAGACTTTGCCTTCTGAAACTTAGCCCAAAGGTAATCAGCAGCTGCAGCATCACCGACCTCATGAGCCATTGCCGAGGCAGCTTGTACAGCTGCTACCCAGAGCCCTCCACTATATGTGCTCACACCACTAACAGTCCATGCATCGTACGTTTGATCAGGGAACCCTTCATTTTCTATCATGCCATCTCCATCCTTATCAAACTGATCCATATATGCTATAGCTATGTATACCGATGGCCAAACAGCTTTTCCAAAAAATTTATCACCGGTAGCAACAAAATCCCTATAAACTTGAAGGACAAATTTCGAATTTAAGTCCTTCCATCTATCTGTGTTGAAGAAATTGTATGCATTAACTTCAAACCATGGATCGTTAAGTCCAATATCATGAGGGACAGCTCCAAGAACCTTTCTGGAGACCCATGTTCCATCACTCATAATTTTCATTTTAGATGGATCATGCATCATTACCGCCATTGCACAGTCTCTTTGGATGCTCAGCTCAAGTTTTGGGAAGAGCATTAATAGCGCATATGATGCATAAAAATGGACATCATACGTATTAAACATGTGATATTCAATTCCTTCAAGATAAAGAAACTGGCCAATGTTCTCCTCTCCGTCTTGAAGTAGATAAGTACCAAAAGCACAGTTTGAAGTCACCGGAGTCTGAAGTTGGTTAACAGTAGATTTCATCCTAGAAAGTAATCCCATATAAGTCTCATTTTTTTCGTCCAACTTTAACGTTTCCTCAGAATCTGATTTTGTCTTTTCAAGGGAAAACGCTCTCTCCCTGATGGTTCCAAAGTTTTGAATTGGTAAGGACCCATCTGTGACATTAAAACGTGGCCTTAATCAGACACAATAACACAAAATTCCAACAGATTTTCCTTTCCCATTACCTGTCCAAATTGTGCCACCAGCATTAAGATAATAGAGCTCATTGAAAAGAGTGATGCGGTACCTGAGGCAAATGATTAGCACTTCAGAAAATTATTTAGAAACTTCAGTGATCTGTATATACCCTAAGGAAAAAGCTTGTAAATCTATATATCACCATTCTGGCAGACTTGTGTCTTCAAGTATTGGTTTCTGCCACTTGTCAATCTCATGCTCCCAATTGTTATGTTCTAATTTAAAGACAGACGGTCGATAAAATTAGGATGATTATAAAACATAGACTGTTTGCAGATCACAAGTCATTCAGGGCCATGCCTGTCAAATTGAGTTTTGTTGTTTTATTATAACTTTAATGAGTAAATTAGTTGAGTAGGTTCTCCCAGCTGTTAAAGAATGCCAAAACATAAATACTACACCAATACTGGAAAGGCCAAAATACATGCATTACTATTTCATAAATGATATTATTACCTAGGAGGGCATCATGGGCAATACTTGCTGCACCGTCACCTTGAACACCATAGAATTTTGTATATCGTCTGAGACAACATTAAATGTCCAAAAGTTTTAGCAATGAATAATTTAAATGTAATATTCTAGAAACAAGAGCTGTTTTATGACCTGTGGTAAGTCTTGCCTCCGGGAAATCTTATTTCTGGACAGTCCCACGCAAGTGAAAAAGTTACTGTCCGGACAGCACCAGATGAAACTTTAACAGATGCTGCTAAAGCAGCTCCAATAGATGATCCTTTTACTGAAGTTACCAAGGTCTTAGCATCCTTAAGATGATCAAATGAACCGTGCTGCAAAATGAAAAAATTGAAAAGAAATTAGGAATAAAGAATAAGACATAAGGTTAATACTCATTCATTATAATCATTTAGAATTAGGAAAAAGGTCTTGAAAGGAACTAAGAAGTTGGAATTTAAAAGTTATATGTGATGCTGTTGCTTATATGCATGAACCAAACTGACCTCCTCAATTTCCCTCCACATGTCCTTTGCTGTCATAATCTCAGACTCTCCAGAAATCGAAAAGCATGGACATTCTGAGACATGGACATCAGGAGTTTCTTGGGCTGCAATGGAAAAGGTTACTGGAGGGAGTCCATCTGAAGTGCTGAATGGAAAATACAATTGTATTAGAAAAACAGAACTATCAAGCCATGGGGAAAAACAAATGTTGCTATAGACTAGAGGGCGTTTTACACAAAACATACTTATGATGAAGGAGGATGCTATGCACACTATCTTCCATCCTACAAAGAGCCAATGCATATTGGTCAAATGAATCATCCAATACAATTAGCAACCAAACCAAACTGATTCCGTCAGACGCTCAATGTTAATTGAAGTTGAAGTAGGAAATGTTCTTACAAAATCTTTTTATTAACATGTCCACCAGAGAACTCTGATATACCACCCACTGAATTCTGAAGATAAGATAGTAAACATGCTGAAATAAGTTACACAGAAAATTCATGAAAAACATTCATTTGAAACAATAAGGAATGCTTCTACTAGAAACAAAAAAATTTCGACATACAGCCCATGTGAAAAGTAATGTCACATCAGCATCAGTCTTCCCTGAGTTAGAAAGCTGCATAAATTTGCATGAGTAAGATTTAACATATAAGAAAGTCAAGACAAGTCAAGATATTAGTATAATGTCTTCTACACACTTAAAACTACTGTACCGTAAATGTGAATACAGTGACTGGGAAGCTGCTGTCCTTGTAATTATGTGGAATAAATGGTGAAAGCTGACGACAAACAATGCTAAGTTCAGGATCTGGAACACCTGCTTGATGAATGATTTAACTTATCATTTTATTAGTTTTGAATTAGATAAGAGTTTTAGACTTTTGACGTTTGATTTATCAGCACATGATACCATCATATACAGTCCACGCTCTTGGGTATAAAGCATGATATGTGCAGTTCTCCCCATCTAGCTTCCATTTCCATGATTCATCCGTTCTGTATCACTAGCTAATTCAGTATCATTTTATAATGTTTTTAGAGCACTAGAATTCAACTGGAGCCTTTGTGTCTCGATTGATGCTCTACACCAGTTAAGCTGGCTACTTACTTGAGCTCTTCGGGACCTCTGGAGCACAGCACGGTTGAAAACTTTTCTTGATCAGGGCGAGCAATGAATATCTGTTGAAGGAGAAATACAAAACTATTAAATGACTTCCCACAAAAATGACATTTTCCTTATTACAGGAACTTGTCGTTACTTCTTCAGACCTTTAGGATTGCCTACTTATCAACAACTATTTTTGCATTAATGAGTCATATGTTAAGAAAGCGTAGACCACTTTGGAGTTTCTGATTATGCATTTATAACATTGTAGTAGCACGGCAATAAGGTTCTGTTGCTGGCTAATTAGAAATGTAAGAAACAAAGAATAAAAAAGCTAATATTAAATGAATTACTTACTGAAAACTGGTTTGCTAGAATAGGTGTGTCTTCACATTTTCTGGGGAATAATTGAAAGCGTTGAAATTCACCTCTCAAACTTCTTCCAATACTTCCTGCACTGCAGATTGATGATTCTATTACTAAGGTCATAACCTAAGCAGTAACAATCAAGCGTAAAGTTCAATGTAATTATATACCAATTCAATTATCCATCAATGGAAAACAAAGTCGCATTTGCTTTTCCAATTCTATATTTAGATAATAAATCGTAAATACTTCCATTTGCACTTTTTGTAGGCTGTTAGTGGTCAAGAACCTTAATACTTGATGAAGTTATTTACTATGAAACTGAAACTCCGTCGACTAACCTTAATCAGAATGAGTGTTGCAGACTGTATTACACAGTTCATTATTTTTCAATTTGATGATTTCTACTCTTAAGCTACAAAAACCGTTTTCATCGACTCCCCATACTTCCCAACTGACTGACACAAACAATAGGAAAACTCACCCAATACCACCTAATGGAACGCCATGATAACATGAGAGAAGACGCTTGTTGTACGGATCCATGATTGAGGGCTGAAAAAGTAAATTGGAGGACAATGGTGAGGATAAGTACACCATTCATATGGTCTGCCAAGTAATGAAACATTAGAATATGGGAAATATGTATCACACATTACCGTTCCTTTTGCAGCTTCTTCATGTATATGCCTCCACAACCTTAGACCAAGTGGAAGCTATCCACAAAAAATAAAACGACAATTACCTTACTTGAGAAGAGATTATATTAAGAAAAAGATTGTCTTATGCAACAAAATTATGGCAAACTTTTCTGTTTCACCTACCTAGAGTAGCACAAATATATGCGTAAGAATATAATGTTGAAGATTTCTAATGCAGCTAAAAGCACAACAAGAACAAAGTATGGGAAAAATGGAAATGTTTTCTGAGTGAATACTACCATGTGCAAAATTTCTCGAATGCTAGGAGCAAAAGATGTAGGGGTACTTGCTGAAGAATTTAACTTCCGCTGCCATGTGAGTAAAGGAGGTTTTCCAGGATGAACCTATATGCAAAAGGATGCAATAGCATAAGTTTTCAAAGGAATCTGTTAGGACCGACAATAATTAGGTGTAATATGGAAGCTAACAAAGCAAACCTCGATAGACCACGAATTTACATTTCATATTCAAGCTGGCAGATTCCACCACAAAACAAACTCGGCATATTGTATACAAATGTTATTTGGAAAGGTTTCCTACTAGGATAGCCAACATAACTACAACATTTCCTATCATTTCAACATCATGAATTCACTAAGCACCATTAACGTGGTTCGGTCAATCGACCTACGTCCACAAAGGAGATGAGCAATCCACTATAAATATGAGTACATGGAGGTTCACACAATTGATAACGTATCAAACTTGTGTCCCACAAATTCTCCCCCTAACCAAAACTCTCAAAGCTCCTATGACTACATTGTGAATGTTGATTAAGTTGAGAGGAACAAGCATCTATATATAAAGTCCTAAATATTTTCCTACAAGAAAAAGACTAGTCACTCCAAAACCTTTTTCTAAAAGGAAAACCTATTTATGGTAAGAAATTCATGACAAATAATATCCAACAAATCTCTCCTTTGACCTGAATTTCTGACAAAACAAATTCGTGCACCTTCTTCACATAATCTTCAACGGCTTGCATCAACAACCCATATAAAAGAAGTAGAGACACTAGTAGTAGTAGTATAACAATTTCTATGTTAGCCAACTTTGATAATTAGGGGAGACAAAAAGAAATATTATTTGATCAAAGTTGTGGCAATTGGTTGTATATAATTTTAGCAAACATCTCACCTTATGCAACAATGAATCAGAACAAGGTGGTCGTTCTTCCTCGTCAACTCCATTTTCAAACATCTTGTCTAAAAAAGAGTGAATGGAACTTGTAGTATTAGCTTGCTTTTCATTTCGATGCTAAACACAGCCAAATGATTGGAAGAGCTAAAAAAGAGATTGGAGAAATGTGAAAACACCTTTATTATCAACCTATTGTTGGTATTAGCTCTAGTTTGGCCAAAAATTGGTTAAGAAATAGACTAGTTGTTTGATTAGAAAACTTAAATGAGCAACACTTTTTCTTCCAAATTAAACATATTATATACTACTCTTCCATGAATATGATTCATCTAAAAACTAATTTGTTTTTCAGAAATTAAAGCAGCAAATCAAATCAATGATGGTGGACAAACCAACCTGGACCACAAGAACTTCAATTCCCAACTTATTTAATAGTTCAACATCATCATCATCATCATCATCTTCAATAAGTAATGGGGTTGGTGGAGAGATTGCATCCAATAATATTCCTTGAATTAATAAATGTTAACAATTCAAAGGTAGCAAAAGGCTAATTTTCGTTACCGGGCCTATTACCAGACAACTTGTCCAAATTGCCTACCACATCAGTTCCATCATTTTATGTGGCATAGTTTGGCTCGGCACGGAGTTATAAAAAGAAAAGAAGACTTTTAAAATTTGTGGTCCAAAATAAATAATAGAAATTTGTGTGGATATTTTATAGTTAAATTGTTAGAGTATTTAATATAGAAATGTGTCATTTTTTTTTAACAGACTAAAAAGGAAAGTAAGTCACATAAATTGGACAGAGGAAGTAATAATAATAATAATAATAATAATAATAATCTATATATAATAGGAGAGGTGAAAACGCGTAGGTGTCAACACTAAAAAACAAAATTTATGAATTATTAAAATTAAAATTGCAAACACTAAAAAAAAATAACTGAAAAATACAAAATATCTAATTTCTACTGTTTCTTTAATATTTTTACGGTTTTTTAAAATTCAGATTTTAACGGTAGCTAACAACATTATACTCTTCCTAAAAAAATGCTCCTAAATCCTAGGGACACATTGAAAAGAATAACTGAATTATCTATCTCTATTCAAATTCAATTAAAGTTGTAAGATCCTTTAATCTAAAACAAATATTTTGTTGTATTACTTACTGAACATGTTGATTTGAGTTGATGTACTAAATTTTTTATTTTATTTTTTTAAGAAAAAAACTCTTTTTGTTGTATAAAATTTTCCCTCTTCAAGAGGAACATATAGAAAAATTCCAGGAACTTATAGAAATAATTTTTAAAAACTATTTTGTTACATTATTATTGAACAATTTTTTTTTTATTGAAAAGAATTCTTTTAAGAAACTGAAATTTTTGCATTAATTTGCCAAGGATAAGATGGATTCATCATAAACTTTGTAGCAATCAATTGTCATACTTACTTTTATAATTAACTAGTAAACTTAGCCGCGTCACGCGTATAAAAGTTTTTAATTTTTTTTTAATTTTCAAATTTAAATATATTAAATAACAAATTTTAACATTTAGATTTGTAACTTTAACTTGATTCATGAATTGATTTTATCAAAACAAAATCCTTAAATTAACACGGTCTAATACCTATACTTTTTTTTTTGGTTGAATAGAACCTATTCTTTTATGTTAGTTATAATATAATATAATAATTAAGAATTTATGACTTTATTATCCATTTGAATGAGTTCTCAAAATTAAATATGGTCAGCTTTGATATTTTGTAAAAAATTTAAAGTGTGACTTTTAGTCTTTTAATTTATTTTTTAAAAATGTCAAAAAAAATTAAAATAGTAACACATCCAAACACGCTCTTAGAAATATGAAAAAATATTTGTAATAGATAAGCTACCTATAATTTGAAGACTTAAAAGAGTACTTCAATTGTATATTAAAATTTAAAGTTTTTTCTCATATGTAGATTCTTTGGAAAAGAAATGGGTGATACATGATCTTGATTCTGCAAAATAATTTTTGGTGATATAGAAATAACAAAAAAAATAATATATTGTTGTTATATATTGTGGTTAAAATACATGATAAAATACGTAATAAATGAGCAATTATAAAAGAATGATAAAAAGCTTTATGTTATAAAGATAAAAAAAAAGTTCTTATAATATCTAATAAAAGCTTATAATTAGACTCTTGGATTTTCTTAAAATAAGGTAAATATAAAAAAAATTGTTCACAAATAATAGGAATATTTATAATTGTTAATGATAAATAATATTTTCAGTATAATTAAAAGTGTAAGAGAAAAAAGTTTAAGTAAAATATTTTAGAAATAATTATAATGGAGGATGAATAACGTTTCTTTGAATTTATTCCAACACTATTTTTCGATTCTCCCATTTTTCTTATTTTCTTTTTCATTTTTTTCATCTTTGCTTATTTAATTCCACTAAGAAAACAGTTGCAATTAGCATCCTATCTCAAAAGAATCAAGTTAGCTTGTCTTTAATTTTTTTACTAATTTATATATATATTTAAGAAACAGTAACAATTGGCATCGTATCTTAACATAATCAAGATAGCTTGTCTTTAGCTTTTTACTAATTTATGCAAAATATCAAAAATGAATTCTCTTAATTAATTTTTCTTATATTTTTCATTATTCATATTTTATTGAAAATTTAAAAATAACTTCATAATAATTTTGATTATCTTCCACCGCTAAGTGTATCCACAAATACATTTTAATGTTTTTCGAGAATTATTTTTTATGCTAACTTTTATTAATGATTTTGCTCTTATAATTTCATTAAAAAAAAAATCAAATCAATTTTGCTCTTTTATATATCTTATTTTGTATCCTCCTTATTAGAAATAAAAATAACTACACAAAGTAGTCTTTGTCGATAGCTTTTGCACTACAAAATTAAAGTAGAGGACAATTAAGCTCAAAACAAATATATTTGGATAGAAATATTATTTTGATGTGATTTTAAGATGTCACAAGCTTAAAGATTAAGTAATTAGAGGTTATGAAGGTATAAAGTTGGAAGTTATGGATATTAGTAATAAGTACTCCCTCAATTCCATGTTAATTAAATTTTTGAGGTGTTTCACACCCTTTAAGAAAAGTAGATTAAGACATAAATTGAACATAGTTTTCTATTTTTACCCTTATTAATTATTGTCAAATTTATTGAAGTCATCACCTTGAAAATCCAAATGAAGGGTAAAATTGGAAGAATATTTTAAAAATAGTCTTGAAGATTGAACAATTAAGTTAATTTGAAAAATGAAAAATGCCTCAAAAATTCAATTAATATGGAATGGAGGGAGTACTAATTTTAAGTATAGAGGTTATGAAAGATGAAGGGTGTGAGTTTAGGATAAAAATTAAATATAAATAAATAGATAAAAATAAGAGAAAAAGTAAAAAAAAAATACATATTTTATTTTGCATTTTAAAACTCATAATTTATTAATTAAATAAATATAAAAATCCTAACAAAACATACTATGGATAACTAACAGTTAACGCCAATAACAAACATTAATGCTAACAGTAAGTCCACGTAATAGCAATTTCTAATAAAGCCTAAATAACTGATTCATCCCACGTACTACACTACTAAATAATGCTAATTAATAATCAGACCTTTGACTTTTCAATTTCCCCAGCTTTATAGTTTTTGTGTAAAGATTAAAGAGTATTAGAGAATATATAAATTCCTCCAATTTCATGTTCAGGAATTTTGTAGAAGCATTGAGCAGAAGAAGTCAAGAAATGTACGTAACAATTCATTTTAATTTTCCTTTTACATATTTTGTTGATGACTTGCTATTATTTTCAGTATATTTTTATCTCATTTGTTTGAGCAGAATATGACTACAATTCAATTTTCTTTGAGAAATCAGATTGTGACAACATAAACTTTAATAGCTTTTGACTTCGGTGCCTCAAGTGAAGATATTTTGATACGGTATGTCACAAATTTATTTAAGTATGATATTTTACTTTTTACAGATCATGAAATACAATTGATTTTGCAATCAATTCTGGATATATATATATATATATATACTAATTTTTTCGACACATGTGTTGCGCGTGTTTATCAATTCAGAAAATATATGTTATAGTAAATTAGTATTCGTACCCGTGCGTTGCGCGGATATTTTTTAATGTCATAATTTTTAAATTAAAATTTATTATTCACTTGTTAATATATTTTTTAAATAGTTATGGTAATATATTAAACTATTTATATAATCATTCACATGTTAATATATTTTTTAAATAGTTATGGTAATATATTATAACTATTTATATAATTACATTAATTAAATGCTATAGTATGCAATTTTATTTGTTATAATATTATTCTAATAGCTATGATCAACTATGTTTTTAGTTTTCGAAATATTAATAGTGAACTATTAATAAAGCCATTATTTTCTTTTTAAAAAATCAAATTCTAACTTTTCATATGAATTGTTTGAGACCAAAAAGTAAAAATAATTTTAAATATTATATGTATGTATAATTCAAAAACCGCAAATTTCAAAAATATCATTTACAAATACTAAATATAATTAAGTGTTGATTATGCAATAATGAGAAATAGAAAGACACAAAGTAGAAAAATATAGACTTATACTAATTAAAATACTAATAAAATAAATTACAAATTATTTTATTTATTTTAAAAAAAACATCAAAAGTTATACATTTATTAAAAATAAAAATTTGAACTCAACCGTATTTTCAGTTTTTTTTCCTTTTGTGTTTGTAATTTTAATTTTATTTACGGGTTTTAAATTAATTTAGTTGATTTAATAATAAATAAAGATTATTACTATTATTATTATTATTATTATT